GAGCAACCAGGAAGTGTTGTCTTGCGCCATGGAACTTGGCAGAAAACTTGGCATTTTCTATCTTCTATCTTCTCTGTTAGCTCTGAAAGCTTGAGGTCCACTTATATATACACTGTAGCTGCCGTTTCTAATTACATGATAACCACATAAACCTGCGTGGGATGATGGGAGAATGATCGCACAACCATTTCCAACTAAGGCAGTGGAATTTTGATATCAAGGCAAGTTTTTTTCCCCCCCACTTTTCTTGGTGGCTATCCTGTCATTGTGCAATTTGAATCATTCCCACTTCATTACGCATGGTATAAATGGCACCTTTAATCTTTTTGTGGTGATAACTTTTACCTAAATGCAAAATGTTAGAAATTTACGTTGCATACGGTTCCATGGAACGTAGAAAAGAAACAGATAGAGTCGAGAGTAAATTACCTACCGTGTTTTGATTTGACAAGATAAAGAAGTTTACGTGAGATCTAAACACCTCATCGTCAATTAATAAACGATACTCAGTCGTGCGAGGCTGAGAAACTCTCACGCTATATCTTGTTTGCAGTCGAATCATCATGGAATTTAGCGAAATATAATATATCAGGACAGGGGGGCGGTGGGTAAGTATTACTTCGATCTGATGTTGCATCCATGTTCATTCTCCCTTTTGTGGTTATCGTATATTTTGAGATGAGATTGAACTTCAGAATTATAGGATACAAATAGTTGCGAGAACCTTTTGTGGCAAATGATAGTGGGAGGATCGTCATTCAACTTTTAATCCTGAAAGAGGCATATGGATGTATGGCTGAGTGTGACTGGTCCTAATTTATCTTAGTCTATCATAACGTCCAAGCCTTGAACTTCTGACCCACGCTAAACTATGTTTGGCCACGTTATACTCCTACACATTGTTCTGCTTTCATTCCTCTTTGAAACAGAGAGAAATGGGAGCAAAGCAATATGTAGTAGTCAAGCTAAGAAGAAGAGAGAAAAAAGCGGACCAGTTTCAATACCCACCACTTTGATAAATACCATAAGTTCACCGTATCTTAATTGTTCATATCTCATCTAGATGGTTTGAAAGAATATGATTTCTTTTTTTATTTGTTTAAAATAATTATTTTAATATGTGTACAATTTAAAATAGAAATAATCTCTTACCTATTATTTTTTCAAAAACTAATTTTTCTATTTAAAAATATTTAATTAAAAATTTTAAATTTAAACCATTTAAATCACATATACACAATCTAGATCTAATGAGTTTAATATATTTTTAACTGAAAGTGATTCCAGAAAAAAAGGCATTTTCATGAGCGCAGAGATCGAGAGGAAGAGGACGCTTTCTTTGTTTTCTTCTTGTTCCTTGAGCTATCCAGTAAACAAGTTGTGCTAGAAATTGATTGTGCTTCAATCGGCATTTATGATTTAGCTTTCTTCTCAAAATTTGTCGTCGTGATCAAAATTGTTTACTCTCGACCGCCCAAACTTCCAACTTTGAGGCAAAGGACCGTGAATTTAGTTATTCGTAGACAACGATTAATTATATTTTAAGTCATGTAAATTAATTAATACTATACACAGACTTTAATATAAAAACTAATTCACTAAAACATATTAAAAAAATTTAATAAGTTAGTTATTTATAATAAATAGGTTTTATCTTTTATAAAATACCATTACAAATAATATATATTAGGATTAATAGTTTATGGAAACTTTTAACATATGCAATCATTATAAGAAGTATTTTGAAAAAAAATAAATAAATATAGAAGACAAAGTAGATTATAGTCTTATATTTATAACCAAATTAAATATTAAACTAGTTTTTATATTAAGAAACGGAATTAATATATACACCTGCAAAATAAGATAAATATAGTGCAGATCAGGTCATGAGTGCAAAAATCTAAAACAATTGACAATATAACAGCCAATTAAATTATGTTCCATTTTTTATATTATTCAGTAGCGGAACAAATTCATAAAACAAAGAAACAACAAAGCGTGTGTTAATCATGATTTTTTGTTGGATTAAATTTGTTCAAATTTAATAATAATGTGAAATATCATCAATTAATGAGAATATTTACTTTATTTTAAGTAATTAATTAATCCTAATTTAACATTACGAGGTTTTGTATCAGGTTGAGTCAAGCCCATTTGACTAGAAGGGCTGTAAGTCTGTAACCTCCGTAAAGCCTGTGATGGTCAGAAGGATTTCCCGCATAACTTTTGAACCCCGAAAAAGAAAATGGTAGATATCCTCGTTTGCTGTAGTGGGCCGTCGAGCTTTCGCGGTTAATACTCCTCCGATCCTTAATATATGACTCAATTTTTGAATTGGTTTTGATCCTAAATATAAGATCCATTTTTTATATTTATCGATTTTCTCTAAATTACCCCTATAGATACTCCATCAACCATAATTAAGTAGAAGAGGGAGATGAGGTATTAAGTAAGATGATTATGGTGTTTTAGGAAAAATGTGTCACTTTTCCTATAATTAACTAACTTACCTAACTTCCTTAATATAATCAAATTAGTTAAATAGGTCTTATATTAAGGACCGGAGGAGTATCTCATAACCCGACCCGATACGCAGGAGTCAAGTTTTTTTTTTTGGGCTACAGAAGAGGCTTAAAGCCAAAATAAACTAGACAATATTGGGATCACATCCCATACAATCTTCCTGCACGAGAGCCCTTAAACTAGTCGGGCAAGCATCAAAAAACTGAGAATGGGAAATTCCCATTTTAGCCAAACTATCAGCAACCTTGTTACTTTTCCTCGAGATATAGTCCACCTTGACAGTCCAATCAAACTGCAGCATCTGTAGAATCTGAATAAAAAGAAGACTGGACTTGGTACTTGAGTGGTGAGTATGGAGCTGTTGTACCAGGAATTTGGCATCTGATTCCAGGATGACATTTTTGAATCCAAAGTCCCAGGCTAGTTTTAACCCCCTATAAATGGCCCATTCTTCCGCCTCTTGTGCACTGCAGATTCCTAGTTCTTGGGTAAATCCAACAATCCAACAGCCCTTAAAGTCCCGAAGTAAGCCTCCACAACCAGCTTGAGATGAGTTCAAAGCCACAGCACCATCCACATTTAATTTAATCCAATTGAGAGGAGGTGGAGTCCAGGAATAAGAAGTTCCAGCATCACGATTACCAATCAGTTTCGCCTTGCCACAAATAGTGTTCATGCCATAAAGTTTACCACATGTCCTCAAATAAGCTGTAGGATTAAGTGGTTTCATAAAGTTCGTGTCAAAAGCTACCTTATTCCTCCAGCTCCATAATTTCCATACAGCTACTCCCCAAAAAGTATCCCAACTCTGGCTGTGGGAATGTCCCATTTTAGTTTTGAGATTAGCAGCAATCCAATCCTTCAAAGAGAGGGAGAAAAAGGATTGTACATACTTACTTTTAATATTCTCCATCCACATATTTCGAGCAAAATGACAGTCCCGTAAGATATGTAATATATCCTCCGTTTTGTCTTGACAATAACCACAAAGGGGTGAAGTATGAGCCCACGTGCTCCTCCATTCATTTGTTGGCAGACGATTGTTATAAGCTCTCCATAAGAAAGTTCTAATCCTCTCAGCTCCTTTCCACTGCCAGATCAACTTGAATATTGGGTCATATTTATCAGGAGGCCTTGTTTCGATCATTTGGTAGGCACTCTTAATGGAAAAAGAGCCATCTGAAGTACCTTTCCAAGACATCACGTCATATCCTGCACTCTCCATAGGTGGCATAATGCTAATTAGCCGCTGTAAAACACTATGGTCCACAATAGAATTAAGTTGCTGAAAGTTCCAGGTGCCATTAAGTATCCAGTCTGCAACAACACTATCGTTCTCCTCTTTGGTGAGAGGTCGTAGGCAGAGATCTTTAATTCTCTTATCCGTGAATAACCACAGATCATTAAAAAAATTAATACTCATCCCATTTCGAACCTTCCAAATTTGTGTATTGTGAGTTGTGACCCCCTCTTTTTTTTAGGACGCATCCCAATTTAGCCTACGAATATTACAGTCGACAATTGGGCCAAAAATGGCCAGCTCGCATTGGCAAAATACCAACCTGCTAAAGTACGGGCTACTTCAGCCCGCACTGCTTTGAGCCTGATCCACCACGGGCTAACTCGTAGGTTGGTAGGCTAGCTCTTTTTTTTTTTTTTTGCCCCCCAATACAACTCCTAATATATTATACTACCTCCGGTCCTAATTATAAGACCCAGTTGACTAATTTGAGGAGATTAAGGAAGTAAGTTGAGTTAGTTATTTGTCCTAAATAGGTGTTGTCTTTCCTAAAATATCCTTGCTAATCAAGTGTATTGACTAAAACTATCATCGTTAGAAGGGTTACTTTGGGAAAATATGTGTAAATATGAGAGATAAAATAGATTAGGGTCTTATATTTAGGACCAAAATAAAAGTCAAATAGGGTCTTATATTAAGGATCGGAGGTAGTATAATATAGTTGCAGGATTGTAACTGTCAAATTTCATATGAATATTGCCTCATACATATCATTGTATATGTAATTAAGCACTTATATATATACATAAAAAATCTATTTAATTAATTTGGATAAGGAAACTAGTTAAATTAATTATTTAGAAAAAATATGTGTCAGTTTTTCTAAAATATCTTCTTAAATTATAAATCAATCCTTATATTATTTTATTACAACCCAGTACTTAAGTTTAAAACTCTAAGGGGGTGTTTGAGTTGAAATTAAACCATGGTTTCAAAAGTGCTTTTATGATATATGAAGCAAATATGTGAGGAGTTTGCCTTATTTTATGGAAAAATGTTTCTGAGAAGCACTTTTGGATGCTTCCAAACACCTTCTAAGTCTAATTTTAACATTTCAAACTAAGTTCAACCTATACAAATAATAATTTTTTTAAAAAAAGGCGGACTAGGGCTACTTCAACCTGCATCGCTAACCCGCATTATTGGCTCTACTTATGGAATATTATTACTGTTTGTTTTACTTCACATGTTACAAAAGTCACATGATACCAGTTTAGAATTTGCCACTCTCCGTCAAATCACTTTTTATATGTTCATCTCTAACACAAGAAATTACTACCTCATGTCTTAATTATGAAACCTTATTTATAAGGTCTTATAAATAGGAAGGAAGGTAGTATATTTTATTTCCACATACAAATTTTATTTCCTAACAAGAAGCATCACATCACAAAATCATCACCACCATTTGTAGTATCAAAGGCTTCTTTAGGAGGACGTACGATTCTTGTGGCGTTCACTTGTTGCGCGGCAACGCAATTCCCAGAAGAGGCATCTTTTTATGCGCAGTAAGCCCAACTGTTTCACACATGTCCAAGTCCTTCCCCTGTTCTCCTTTTGGCAAAGACCAATCAAAACGGTACAAAACGTTTGCTATCACAAGCTCGTTCAAGGCCATCGCAAGTTGTGTTCCAGGACACCCCCTTCTTCCTGCTCCAAATGGGATCAATTGAAAATCAAGTCCTTTATAATCTATTGAGCTGTTCAAGAACCTCTCCGGCTTGAATTCTTGAGGATTGTCCCAATGCACAGGATCTCTTGCTATTGCCCAAGCATTCACAATTACATGCGTCTTAGCACCAATGTGATGACCAAGTAGTTTTATTTCTTGCATGCTTTCTCGAGGGACTAGTAAAGGAATTGGAGGGTGTAATCGAAGTGTTTCTTTTAACACTGCCCTTAGGTAAGGCATGTGATCTATATCCTCCTCTGTTAGTGTGTGTGATTTGTCTCCTTTTACATTTCTAACCTCGTCTTGTAGCTTTTTCATAACATTTGGATGTCTTAACAATTCTGCCATCGTCCATTCTAAGACTGTGTATGTGGTATCTGTGCCCGCAGCAAACATGTCCTATAAAATCAAATTCACTAGTCATGTCTCAAAATGAATAGGACACGAGTGTTCCTTGAAAATATAGGCGAGGGGGTAACTTGGGACCATAAATGCGTATGTGTGACGATAGACCTAATGACATGGAATATTCAGAAGAACCAGTTACCAATTTAACTAAATTGCTATTCAATTAGAACACGTATTGCAGAAAGTGAAAAATGATATATATATATTTTGGAGAAAAATTAGAATTGATATTCACACACAATATAACTGTTTTCACCAAAAAATTTTTTTTTCCCATTTATAATAATTAAGTAATTTACTTAGCTCCCTTAACCTATACAAATTTATTAAGTAACTCTTACAAGTAAGAACCAGAACAGTAATTTACAACACACAAGAGAGATGGTACATCGTTTTTCTTACCAAGATCAAGGCCTTTATGGCAGACCTGTCAATGGGAAAGCCAATGGAGTTAGTGCTTTGGACCGAAAGCAAAACGTCCACAAAATCATCATCGCCTTCTTTTGGACGATTCGCCTCGTGCTCCTCAATTACTTCCTCCAAAAATCGATCAAACTCTGCAGCCACTGCGTGCGCTTTACCATACAAGCCACTCACATGACCAACCCAATCAAGCCAGGGTATATAGTCCCCTATCACAAAAGAACCCACCAGCTCTACAAACTTCTCGAGTAACTCCATAAATTTTCTCCCACGCCCCTCTCCATATTTCCTGCCCAAAGCCGCCCTGCAAATCACATCGTTCGTAACCGATGAAAATAACTCGCTCAAGTTCACTGATGTGTTAGCAGAACAAGCGTGCGTGATCTTTTCCATCATTACGGAAGTTTCTTCCTCTCTCACACCGCGAAGGGATTGAACCCTTTTGTTACTCAGAAGATGCAACACGCAGATGCTTCTTAACTGCCTCCAGTATTCTCCATATGGAGCTGATGCAACGTCCTTGCCATATAATAGCATATCGAACATTTTAAGCTTAGGCCTGCTTGAAAATACGAGATCATGGGTCTTCATCACCTCACGAGCAGCTTCTGCAGAAGAGACTACGAGTACTGGTTTTTTCCCAAAATGAAGACGCATCAAGGGGCCATACTTCTGAGCCAGAGAATGGAGGGTACGATGAGGGTACAAACCTAGTTGATGGAGATTTCCTATCACTGGCAATTTTGGGGGAGAAGGGAGAGAGGTTTTGTTGACTGCAGAATTGGAATACCATTTGAATATCACAATGAGGGAGATGGGTAAGATAAGGAGCAACCAGCAGGAAGTGCTGTCTTGCACCATGAAACCTGTCACAAAACTCGGCATTTTCTCTCTATCTTCTATCTTCTCTGTGTTTGCTCATTATGAGGTCCCTTCAGACACACACACACACTTATAAACTGTAGCTGCCGCGGGGCAACCATTTCCAAATGTTGCAACGGAATTTCGGAATTAAGTGAAAGTTTTTTTTTTTTTTTTACTTTTATCTTGCTGGCTATCCTGTCATTTGGATATAATATGAACCTTTCAACTTTATTACGCATAGTACGAATGGCAATCGTTGATCATCTTTTTGACAACTTCTGTCTAAATACAAAGTGTTTAAGTGGGATACAAAGAGCTCATCGGCCCATATTTTAGCCAAATAATTGTCTGTTTTTTAATATAAGGACTAAGTATTGAATTAATTTTTGTCTTAAATATAATACATATTTATCATATTTATTAATTTTTTTAAAATTACCCTATTGATACTTACTTGACCATAATCAAGCAGGAAAAAGAGGAAGAATATTAATAAAGATGATTATGATATTTTAAGAAAAACATATTATATTTTTTATAATTAACTAATAACTTACCTAATTAATATGCCTGTGTGTAAGTGGTTGGGAATATTTCTACTCTATCTTTAAGTGGGGCCTACAACTATCTCTCTATCGGCATATGTATGGATTCTGTGGTAAAGATTGGATTGCACGCCTGCGCTGCGAGAAAATTGCAACCGGCCGTCATTATGAAATTTACGTTCATACATATCAGCATATCATGTTGAAATTGCATTAATGCATGATTTAATTTGAACATTAACTAAATGTATCCTGACTTGAGTTCAGCAGCTTTCTGTGGGATCAGAGTAAGTCCCTAATTCAAAAGAGTGCCTAGGGCTGAGCAAGCAACCCATAGCCCGGCTGCCCGCCCGCAACCCGTGAAAACTGGGCCCATTTGAGCCCGCCCAAAAAAAATATAAACGGGCGGGTTTAAATGGGCGGGTTTAAGTATTAAATGGGCGGGCTACGGGCAGAGGCACGGGCTGCCCGTACCCGCCCGTTTAGACTTTTATTTTTTTTTTCTTGAAAAATTTTTAAAAAAAAAAGAAGAGGGAATGTGACTTGTGAATTGATTGAGAGAGATTTAGGACACCTATCCCCTCTCTCTCATGAGCTCTCCTACCCCACTCCTAGTTTCCCCCTAGACCCCCCTTTTGCTCTAGCGCCGCTACTCCTCTCCCTCATATTGAATCTCAGACTTGAGCCCTCACGGTGCCACTCACCTCTCGATCGCTCAATCTCTCACGCATACGGCGGAGGCGATTAGGTGCACAAGGGACACGTCGCTCACTCAGTCTCGGCACCAGTGTTCCACGGCGGCTCTCGCCTTCTTGCCTCTGGGTCTTACACGCTCCATCTCATCGACATCTGAGCAGTGAGCTCTCCTCTTTCGTCACCTTCGTAGCACCGTCCGTCGGCCTCTTAGTCCTATCAATCTCCCTTGCCTCTTAGCCTTGTCGACGGCATCTCCCACCTCTTAATCTCGTGTCGTCGTCTCTCATTTCAGCTTCAAATCTTCCATTTATTTCACTCTTTTTAGCTCTTGCCTTTTGGGTTGACATTTATGTGTAAGATTTGAGATTACTTTCATTAGCTTAATACTTGTATTTGCTGATATTTATATGTGATTGCTGCCTTGCTAGTAAACACTGAACATTTGTTCTGTTTTAGGAAAGGTATTTCCATTTTTACGTCTCTAAGCTGCAAAAAGTTCAGTATAAATGAGAATATGATATAATATTTTCATGTCTTTCCATTCTTAAACGGGTTCCCCATTACCCGCATCAGCCCGCCCAGTTAAACCAACCCATTCAACAACGGGTTTAAATGGGTATCTATGGGTACGGGCTAACCCGTACCCGTTTAAATTTAAACGGGCGGGCTATGGGTTAGGGGCCGGGCAGCCCAACCCGCCCGTTGCTCTGCCCTAAGAGTGCCAAAATTCTTCATTTTTTGCTTGGTTTCAAATGTTTTGTTGAATAGGTCCAGAACCTGAATAAAGCAATTAATTCAGCTGTAGAAGACTCATATACGCGAACTACGACGTGCCTTAATCAGAGATAACCTCACTACTGTATTTGAGCTGTGGTTTGTGGGAACATGTGTCTGTAAATATTTATGTATCCTTTTGTTTTGTGAATTCTCTTCCGGCTTTCCAGGCACTTCTATTTCTCAACAACATCTTAATCATTTTTCCCTTTTCAACCTTGTCTGGGTACTCTGCATAAAACGACTCATTTTTAACTCATCAATCTGGTCAACCCATCCTTTTCAATCACCTTTGGAAGACAAATCTATATTATAAAACTTATATGAAGTAGTCATGCTTCTTATAAACAATGAGTTTAGCAACTCATTATCTTAAACTTCATGCAGTGCCGTGACATGCAGTTTTAGTTTTACAGGATAAACCATACAGTTTTCTTTTCATTTTTTCGGTGAACAGCATAAACCATATTACCTTATACAAATAACCTCACATTACTTGTTATGGCCTCAATTTTTTTTCCATGACTGATTTTATCTCATATTCTATAAAGGATTAATGTGCAAATTTGTCTCTGGCTATTTAAAAATTTTCTTTTAGAAATAAATTTGTTCTGAAAGTTTAAAATCATAACAATATTGTTCTATATTATAAAAAAAAACTGCCGTTAAAATTAATTACGACTCGTGAGTAATTAATTCTTTTTGTTAAGGACACGTATGTATTTCTATATTAAAACAATTGTCAGAAAAGTGGTTTTCAAATTAGTATTCTCTTTATGTTCATACCAATGTGGTGGTTTTGAAATTGTCAAGTGTCTCTGGCCCAAAAAAAAACAAAGAAAGAAAGAAATTGTCGAGTGTTAACATAAAAAGATGTGGCAATTAATAAACCTAGCTTGTATTTTTCGTGCGTTAGATTAGCATTGCTGTCCAAATAAGTATACTCATATTACATGCATGACAGTAAATTATATCCCATGTGCAATATTTAATTTGTCTCCAGAGCCACCCCATCCTACAAACTGCATGAAATATGTGAAGCAGAGTCAAACAATGCCGTCCGCCGGATCTTTGGACGCGTGTATGGCGTAATGGCCTCATTCCTTTTGTGACCGCTTTTTTGATTATTTATTGTCCACGGGAATCCTACGCTTTTCGTTTTGCTCCCCCGTACCAAAATGCAATTCAATTACATTCAAGGGGTGTAAAAAAGTGTTCTCAGTAAGAATGAATTTTTTTTTTTTACATACTTATTTTAAATTTCATAACATTATTATTCAAATTGTATTTATTTTTCTGTCCTCATGACACGTGTAATATAATCTCAAATAGTACATTCTTAATTGATTACTTTGAACTACTCGACATATTTAAAAATGGAATTGTGCTCGCATTGAGAGCAAGTTTTGTTTGTTCCCCCTTCTGAAATTTCTTGATAGTTGAATGAATCAATTACGGGGAAGCCAGAGGATAACTGACGAGATGCCAGAAGGCTCCCAGTGATTGGAGGAGAATTGAAGTGTCTCGCACTTTAAAAACAGTCATTTCATCATTCCAACATCCAAATTCTTACGCAAACATAAACTCGCGCCTCTTTCATCAAGTTTCGCTCTTTCCGATCTTCTTAGCACTGGTACGTTTCGTCTCTTTCTCTCTCCTTTTGTCTGGTGGATTCTTTCTCCTGGGTTAATATTCTCCTTTTTGTATCTTTGGATGGGTTATGAATTGATCCCTCCTGATGCTTATTGATCGGCAGCAAATATGAGTTCTTCGTGGAGTTTCATCCCGCGGCGGTTACTCTTATATTTCCTTACTCTCTGCTTGCTCATTATTTCTGTTACACTTTTTCCCCGGGGAAACTCTATTTCTGTACTGTGTTTTAGCGATTTTCCCTTTCAAATGCCCTTTATTTTTTCCATCGCTTTCTTTCCTATGCTTCTTACCAAGATCACAGCCTTTATGGCAGATCTGTCAATGGGAAAGCCAATAGAGTTTGTCCTTTGGAGCGAAAGCAAAAGGTCCACAAAATCATCATCGCCTTCAGTAGAATCATAGGCTTCTTTTGGACGATTCATGTGCTCCTCAACTACTTCCTCCAGAAATCGATCAAACTCTTCAGCCACTGCATGTGTTCTAGCGTAAAAGCCATTCACATGACCAAGCCAATCAAGCCAAGGTGTATAGTCCCCTAACACAAAAGAACCCATTAGCTCTCCAAAGTTGTCTAGTAACTCCATAAATTTTCTCCCACTCCCCTCGCCATATTTCCTGCCTAAAGCCGCCCTGCAAACCACATCGTTCGCAATCGATGAAAATAACTCGCTCAAGTTCACTGATCTGTTAGCAGAACAAGCGTGCTTGATCTTTTCCATCATTATGGAAGTTTCTTCCTCTCTCACACCGCGAAGGGATTGAACCATTTTGTTACTCAGAAGAGGCAACACGCAGATGCTTCTTAACTGCCTCCAGTATTCTCCACATGGAGCTGATGCAACGTCCTTGCCATATAATAGCATATCAAACATTTTAAGCTTAGGCCTGTTTGAAAATACAAGATCATGGGTTTTCATCACCTCGCGAGCAGCTTCTGCAGAAGAGACTACAAGTACTGCTTTTCTCCCAGGATGAAGAAGCATCAAGGGGCCATACTTCTGAGCCAGAGAATGGAGGGTACGGGGAGGGTACAAACCTAGTTGATGGAGATTTCCTATCACTGGCAATTTTGGTGGAGAAGGGAGTGAGCTTTTGCTGATTGCAGACTTGGAATACCATTTGAATAGTAGAATGAGGAAGATGGGTAAGATAAGGAGCAACCAGGAAGTGTTGTCTTGCGCCATGTAACTTGGCAGAAAACTTGGCATTTTCTATCTTCTGTGTTAGCTCCGAAAGCTTGAGGTCCACTTATGTATACAGTGTAGCTGCCGTTTCTAATTACATGATAACCACATAAACCTGCGTGGGATGATGGGAGAATGATCGCACAGCCATTTCCAACTAAGGCAAGGGAATTTTGATATCACGGCAATGTTTTTTTTCACTTTTCTTGGTGGCTATCCTCTCATTGTGCAATTTGAATCTTTCCCACTTCATTACGCATGGTATAAATGGCACCTTTAATCTTTTTGTGGTGATACCTTTTACCTAAATGCAAAATGTTAGAAATTTACGTTGCATACGGTTCCATGGAACGTGAAAAAGAAACAGGGAGAGTCGAGGGTAAATTACCTGCCGTGTTTTGATTTGACAAGATAAAGAAGTTTACATGAGATCCAAACACCTCATCGTCAATTAATAAATGACACTCAAATCGTGCGAGTCTGACAAACTCTCACGCTATATTTTGTTTGCAGTCGAATCATCATGGAATTTAGCAAAATACAGTATTACCTTCTGTTCTTAATATAAGATCTCATTTAATTTTTATTTTAATTCTAAATATAAGATTCTAATTTATTTTGTCTCTCATATTTATGTATTTTTTTTCAAAGTAGTTTTTTTAATAATGGTAGCTCTAACCAATATATTTGATTAGTAAGGATATTTTAAAAAAAACATCTATTTATTAAAAATAATTAATTTAACTTATTTTTCTTAATCTTATCAGATTAATCAACTAGCTTTTATATTTAAGATAGAAATAGTATATGAGGACAGGAGGGCGGTAGGTAAGTATTACTTCGATCTGATTTTGGATCCATGTTCATTCTCCCATTTGTGGTTATCGTGTATTTTGAGATGAGATTGAACTTCAGACACTACAAGAAAATGTTGAAGTAGCAGCGGAACATTTCTAGCGGTTCAACTAAACCGCTAGAAATTCCAAATATTTCTAGCGGTTTCTATAAAAAGCGCTGCAAAATACAGACGGTTTGACCATTGCCCGCACATTTCTAGCGGTTACCACCTAACCGCTAGAAAATTAGAGCTAGAAAATTCCCCGGGCTTTGGCGGGAACTTGGCGCCAAATTTGTAGCGTTTACTTTCTAGCGGTTCAGGCCAATAAACCGCTAGACACCGAAAAATTCTAGCGGTTGATGTATGAACCGATAGAAATATTTTTCATTCCCCGAGGAGTTTACAAATTTCTAGCGGTTCTGGACCGAACCGCTAGCCAATTCCCGAGGCACATGTGACCGTTGGGAATTCCTAGCGGTTCGGCCCAAAACCGCTAGAAATTTCTAGCGGTTTGGACCGAACCGCTAGGAATTCTCGGTCTATATATACCCCCCCACACTCTCACTTCTTCAATCGTTCTGGAAGCGAAGCTCTGCTGAATTTTCTCCACAAACATATTCGAGTTCTGATTCAGTTGCAGATCCTTATTTTCAGGTAAAAATAGTAATTTATTGATAAATACTTTTTATTTTATGTTTTATTTTATTTATTTTATTATGTTGTAGCTTATAAATAATTTTTCTTTTTATTTCATTTATAAATAATTACTATTTATTGTTATTAGGATGACTCGTCGACACGGGAAAGACCCAGTTGATCCTGAGAGAGCTGGACCCAGTGAGGTTCATCATGATGCTGGTGAGCCATTCCCCAGCATTCATGACTACGATCTTAGCGAGGAGGATATCCTCAGTTTTATGGAGCAGGATGATGTTGAGCGGACTGAGGAAGCTCATTTTACTGGGGATGAGCAACCCCATGCTGATGCTGATGCTGCTGACGAGGAGGAGGAGGAGGAGCAGGATCAGGGGAATGAGTATCCCCAGGCTGCGCAGCGTCCTGCTCCGAGACGTCAGGCTGGTTATGAGGTGAAATTTGTCGGTAAGTATTTATTTAACTTTTTAAAGTTTTGATCAGTATTTAATTTATATAGAAATTGTATTAATTTATTGATATATAATTTATTTCTTAATTAAATTTTGCAGACACTGAGGGGAACAGGTCCTATCGGAGGCTGACAGCCAGAGAGCTGTCTATGATGACAAGCGGACGAGTGGTTGTGCCGCTCAATGAGTTGGGCCAACCGACGAAGAAAGGTGGCCAGTTGTACAACAAGTACGTGCGCCTCCTTGGTCAGCAGTGGACGCTGTTCCCCATCTACGTGCAGGACTGGAAGAAGATCACCTCAGACAAGAAGCAGCAAGGCTGGGAAATAATGAAGGTAATATAAAATTGTTATTTATAATTTTTTTTAATTTAAATAAATGATTATATATTTTGTTTTCAAATAATTTAATTGTTTGATTATAATTTTTTATTTATTTAATTTGTTTGTTATTTATAATATTTTTAAAAGTAGTTAAATGAATATATATATTTTTTATTTAAATTATTTAAAAGTAGTTAAATGAAAATAATTTGTTATTGATTTCATTAATTTATTACTTATAATAATTTTAAATTTAGTTGAGTAAAAATATTTTTTCATTTAAATTACTTAATTGTTTAATTATTATTTGTTTTTGATTAATTTATATTTTATTTATAATATTCTTAAATTAGTTAAAAACTAATTATTTGTTTTTTATTATTGAAATTGCTTAATTATTTGTTTAAATTTGTTATTTAGTTAATTTATTATTTTAATCATAGAGTAAATTTATTCTGGGGGAGGAGTTGAAGGCTGACACGATCAAGAGGCTCGGGATGGCATGGAAGAACAGGAGGGCCGACCTGTGGAGGGAGAAGAAAGGTGACGAGACGAGGCCCCTCCAGGAGATACTGGCAGATGTACCTGGTGGAGTCCCGGACCAAGACTGGTCCAGTTACGTCTATTTTAGGATGACGGCTGACCAGATGGTATGATAATATTGTATTAATTATAATTTCTTTATTTTTTATCCGACTTGACTCATTTAATTTAATTTTTTTACATTTTGCTTCAGGCTCTTTCTAGGAGAAATGCTGGGAGCGTCAGGCATCAGACGATACGTCATAGGGCTGGATCCAGGAGCTTTGCGATCACTTATGACGAGATTGTGAGTACTTGAAATAAATTTATTAAATATGTATATGTATTTAATTTGTAACTAATTATTTCTTTGATTTCATTTACAGAGGGAAAAGACGCAGCAGGAGCGGGGATACACGCCCACTTATGGCGAGATGTGGCCGATGGTGTATAGACCCCGAGACGGGCGTGCGTCGGATGAGGTTGAGGAGATAGCGGTAAGTAATAAATTAAATATTAATATAATATCACAGTGTAGATATCATTATATTATAATTAACTTCTTTATATTAATTTTGGTAGGCACGGATGACTCAGGTCGATTCCGAGTTGCGTGAGTCTCAGGGGTCTGCCTTGGATCCCACCGCCTCACTTTTAGCGGGTCGTGGCCGGCCGCAGCACCCTGGTCGAGTTAGCGGGCTTGGACTTGGACCTACACCGACTAGGTTGCCCCGCTCAAGTGGCGCTGGCCCTTCATATACTGCTGGGAGCTCTCATGCGAGTGCGAAGCGGCCGGGTTCCTCATCCTCAGAGGAATTGCGAGAGGAGCTCAGACAAGAGTTCGAGGCCAGGATTGTGGAGCGTGATCGTCAGTTCCAGGAGCGTGATCGTCAGCTCCAGACGCAGCTTGACCAGCTCTTGGCAGCTGCTACGGCTCTGCGTCATGTGGTGGTCAGTATAGCTCCAAACATCTCGGTTCCTGACATCCCCGACCTACACATGCCACCAATCCCGCCCCTACCCCCCCATCCGCCAGTCCAGTCCCGGCAGGTTGAGTGGCCTGCCCACCCCCAGCCGGAGGATTCAGCAGAGGATGATCACGATGATGCTGCTTCTGCCCCCCACCCATGATTTGCTTTCATTGTATGGGATTTTATTAGAATCTTGATTTTACGGTTTTATATACTATTTAGATATTTATTTAAATTTTATATTTATTTGTTTACTTTATTGATTTATTTCTATAATTTTATTTATGTCAAGTACTAATTAATATTGAAATATTTATTTATTTATTACAACATCAACATTACAATTTATTAAACACGTTAAACATGTTAATTAATCAAAATAATTCTATAATCATTTATTAATTTAATAAATATTTATTTTTGTAATGTTATTAATTTATTGTGCGGTATTTCTATTTAATATTTAAAAATAATATCGTTTGTAGCGGTTCAAAAACCGTTAGAAAATTCAACTGGATTTTAAGCATCGTGAAACTTTCTAGCGGTTCTTGTAAACCGCTAGAAAATTAGATAATTTTCTAGCGGTTTACAAGAACCGCTAGAAAGTTTTGCTAATTTTCTAGCGGTTTTTGACCTAAATTTCTAGCGGTTTTATAACCGCTAGAAAATTCAAAACCGATGGAGACAAAATTCCCGTTAAACCGCTAGAAATTTCTATCGGTTTGTAACCGATATTTAGAATTTCTAGCAGTTAATAACCGCTGGAAAATGAAAATTTCCGTTAAAACCGCTACAAATTTGTAGCGGTATTGTAACCGCTACAAAAAAATGACCGTTCCACCAGCCTCCTTTATAAGCTGAAGCACTCCAACTGAATTCCATTTTAACTTCTCTTTGAGCTCTGTGTCATATTTTCACGAAATTTGAGCATTATTAGTGATGGATAGGTCGTGGATCAACTTGCACCGGTCGACTCCGCAATACTTGGCTGGTCTAAACTATTTCTTGGATTTTGCTTTCGCCAATGCTGCCGTAAATGGTAAGATTCAGTGTCCCTGTCCTAAATGTAATTTAAAAAGTGGCATCCCAAAGATATTGTTAGGGAACATTTAATCTTTAAGCCTTTTCCGCGAGAGTACGTATTTTGGCAACTACATGGGGAACGGCTAGATATGGGTGCTGAGTCAGTGCCAGTAGTTTCACGGATGGGAGTTCGAGTGGATGAAGCCGATGCCGTGAATGATGCTGTGCGTGATGCTTTTGGTGTTCACGAAAGCTCGAATCCCAACGAAGATGAAGTAGAGGGACCTCAACCGGAGTTTCTAAGAAACGAAACTGCTCGGGAATTTTTTGACCTCATGACCGAAGCTGACAAGCCTCTTTATTCTGGGTGTACAAAGTATTCGAAGTTGTCATT